AAGTCGCAACCAAAAAAACTCAATGCGGACGCTCAAGGTTTCCCTCCACCTCCATCCAACTGGGCCCCACCTCCCAGTCACATCCGTCAAGGGACTGCAAAACACTTTGGGCCCATCCCGCCCACACCTGGCCCACGCCCGCAGCCGAACAATTGTATCCAGCCAATGTTCGTTCCTGGCCCTGTGAAGCCTTCATTTCCTCCGCCGGTGCCACAAGCTCCGAGCTGGCCTGCAGGCCCGCCTCCCCGTCTGCCACTACCTGGGACGGGTGTTTTCATTCCACCGCAGGGCTCGGGCAACACATCAGGCCAGCAGACTTCATCAACTGAAAATATGGGCTTAGAGACAATATCTGCTCGTTCGGAGGAAAATGGCGGGAAGAAATTGAACGATGGTCACGGGCTGCAAGACAAGCGCGAGTGTAATGGGACGGTGGTAAAAAATGGGGAAGAGTTTGAGAATACCGATGCGGTCCAAGGTGGAAAATGAGAGGGGAATAGTGAGCTGCTGGTTTTATTCTTTTGAGGAATTGAGTAGGCTGCCAAATGTGACGAGTTTAAAGCAAATGTAAAGAGCGGCGTATGTGGGGATATACATTCCACGCTTATTATTAATATCTGCAGCTTTATTTTCTTTAGCTTTTTTGGACGCTCGTCTTGTTTTGTGCCATGTTTTAGAATTATATTTATACCATCAAAATGAACTCCTTCCTCTAGATTGAGCCAAAGATGTCCATTTTCTCTTCTTTATTTTCCCCTTGTCTCTTTACATTTTCTGTCGATTGAATATTGAAGACACATTTCCCTCTAATTTTGCTTTCTTAAAGCAGTTATGCGATTTCAAAACATGTGAAGAGATACCTTTGTACATATTTAACATCAAATACCCTTTATTGACAATTAGATTGATTCAAAATTGAATATCAACCACATACCTAATGTACGAGACAAAAAATAATTTGTCTCGTACTTGTATTGCTTCAGCACTTGACTCGTACACCTCGTACATAGCAAAAAACCCGTTATACCTTTACTTTAATTTTAAACTTAAATTTAGTTTAATTAATTATAAAATGTTAATTGTATTTATTTTCGGGCAACTTCCTCAAAAATCCCTAGCTCACTTTTCAACTTCCTCCTCAGTCTCTAGGTTATTTTTTTTCCTTTGAACTCCCTACCCCTAAAATCATCTTCCTCTTAACTCCCTATTATTTAAATAAATCAAAAATAAATTCAAAGTGACATCATCCACACTACCATTGATCTCATCTTATTATTTTATTATTTTTCTCTCTCTCTCTACTACTAACTTTCTTATTTTTTTATTATTTTTTCTTTCTCTCTTTTTCCACACATTTTTTATTATTTTTTAATCATCTTCTACTATTCATCTTTCCTACTACTTTTTTTCTTAATTTTTTATTATTTTTCTTTTTCTTTCTTTTCACACAATATATAGGTACTAAGTTACAACAATATTGATATTGTCCTACTACATTATAGATATCATTTTTGTAAATAAATATTTACATTATATATTCATTTTCATTCATATAAGTCTGTATTAAATGACAATATATAAGTACTGAGTTACTAAAACTCTGGTAATGTCTTATTCCAATGTAGGTATCAGTTTTGTAACTCATTAAAACAAACTATTATATATGAATCTAGTGTGATGCACGAGTAATAGATATTCATTAATATTAAAAAATTAAAAAATTTCACTAAATATATGAAATTAATATGTAATACTACCCCTATATTAATTTATTTAAAATATTATATGAAATTTAAATTTGTGTAAAATTATATAAAATATGTGTATTTAAAATTATTACACAACTCGTATGATGTACATAACTATTAATTATTTACATTTTATGTCATTCAAATTTATATTGTTCAAATTTATCAACTAATTTTCTATAATTAAATTATATAATTTTAATTTTATTAAAATTTATTTATTCAAAGATCTATCTAATTTTCATACATCAACTAGTACGATACATGTGTAGTACACGGGTACGTAAATATATTTGTACAATAGAAAAACTAAAATAATTTATATTTATATTGTAAAATTATGTATAATGAATATATAACAATTATGAATAACAAACAAAGTAATAATTAATTATAAATGGGGTCCGTATTTTTGCACTTAATTTTCTTATTTTATTTAAAACCTATGATAAAATGCATTAAAATGATTATTTTATGGTGTAATACTGAATTAGGTTTTTATTATTCTTGTTGTAAAATAATTTATGTTGTATTCATATTGTTGAAATTATTTTTTAATAAATAGAGTTTTATTTTTTATTGATAGATGTATTTATTTTTTATTTTATATATGCAATATGGATATCAAATTGAAGATCATTAAAATATGATTATTTTAACAAACAAAAATAACATAAAAATAAAAAAAATATAAATATTTAATAATAAAAAGAATACATATTTATTATAATAATTATTATATGAATTAAATAAGAAAGAGTAAGAGAAGAATATGGTAACTTGAGAAAAAAAAAA